GGTTAGGTAGCCGAAAAGGTTAGGTTAGGTTAGGTAGGTTAGGTAGTCGAAAAACAATTCATGAAAACTTGGCTTATTAGGCAAATCGGGCCTTGCATAGTAGGCTGATAAGTGCGTTCTGGCTACTAGGTACGATATATATAATATGCATATAATATATAAACTGAAAATTCACACCCCAGAAGTGACTCGGACCCATACTGCCAGGAGCAACGCAACTGGTATGTACAGGACACCTTAATCAAGGCGTCATATAATATATATATATAACACAGGAACCTGTACACCAGTAAATTGACGGTTGAGAGGCGGGATCAAAAAGCCAAAGCATAGCCCCTGCCAGCACAACTAGGTGAGGACAACTAGGTGAGTACAACTAGGTGAGGACAACTAGGTGAGGACAACTAGGTGAGTACAACTAGGTGAGGACAACTAGGTGAGGACAACTAGGTGAGGACAACTAGGTGAGTACAACTAGGTGAGTACACACACAGTGGAGGGGGGGGGGTGAGGTAGCACGTGCTAGAGTTGCAGAACTCGGAGATGACAAAGGCTATATTGGCCTGGAAGAAATCTCACCATGGATACTAAAGGAAGGAGCTGAAGTACTGTCATTACCACTCTCCATGGTGTATAACAAGTCACTGGTAACAGGAGAACTGTCAAAAGTTTAGAAGACGGCCAATGTAGTCCCAATATACAAGAAGGATGATAGGCTGGAGTCACTGAACTACAGGCCAGTGTCCCTAACTTGCATTCCATGCAAGATGATGGAAAAAGTTGCGTGAAAAAGCTAGTGGAACATCTGGAGCGAAGTAACAGGGTTGTTAATTTGTGGAACCAATTACCGCGTAACGTGGTGGATGTGGGGTCCCGCGATTGTTTCAAGCGCGGGTTGGACAAGTATATGAGTGGGATTGGGTGGTTATAGATAGGAGCTGCCTCGTATGGGCCAATAGGCCTTCTGCAGTTACCTTTGTTCTTATGTTCTTATGAAGGAACTTTGTAACACATCAGCATCGAAATGGACAGAGAGAAAGATCTAGGAGTTGATATCACGCCAAATCTGTCTCGTGAAGCCCACATCAAAACAATAACATCAGCGGCGTATGCGAGGCTGGCTAACATCATCTCTGGTCTAGGGAGTGTTGTCTACCTCTCCATGCCCCGCCTACTGGCCTTGGTGTAGCTCTTGCGTTATAATTGAACTTTCTTTACGGTCGAATTCTTCGTGGACTCGGACCTTAAAGCTGCGGACAGAGGTAGCTTCCAAGGATCTTTTTCTGTGCATTCCACTTGTTGAACACCCGTACAGGGTACAGGTATTTCCCTTACATTCCTTCGATACCCCTACCTTCCACATATACCCCTAGCTTCCACATATACCCCTAGCTTCCACATATACCCCTAGCTTCCACATATACCCCTAGCTTCCACATATACCCCTAGCTTCCACATATATGGAAGCGGGAATGCTACTTTGGATTTAAATTAAAGAGGCTGTACTTATCCACCTTCTCTCTTCCTCTCAGTATCTTGTATGTTGTGATCATAGCCCTTCTGTTTTTCTCTATGGTTGTCACAGTTTCCTGAACCCTTTCAGATGTGGCAGAAATGTTGTTGGAGAGTAGTGTAGTGTTGGAGAGGGGGGGTGGTGGTGTAGTGTTGGAGGGGGGGGTGGTGGTGTAGTGTTGGGGGGGGGGGGTGGTGGTGTAGTGTTGGGGGGGGGGGGTGTGGTGGTGGTGGTGGTGTAGAGTTGGTGGGGGGTGTCTGGTGGTGTTGGAGAGTAGTGTAGTGTTGGGGGGGGGAGGGGTTGAAGTATTATGGGGAGTGTAACGGTGCTGGTGCACAGGTCACGGACAAGCTGTGAGGAAGGTGGGGTGAGGGGTGAGGGGTGAGGGAGGGGAGAGAGGGGGGGGAGAACAATGTGTCGGGGAAGCACAAGGGAGACGAGTGAGGGTCTGGGAAGACTTGCCCAGGTAACAGACATCACTACATAGCGTTAGTCTAAGTTTCCTACACATTATTCACCCATGAACGTGTATAAATGTTGAAATACAGCACACGTGAAGCACTTTACGGAGCGTAGCGCAGCCACCAAGCACACAGGTGTCTCAGTCTGCTCCACAGGTGAGCACAGGTGCCCACCATGGGTGTACAGGGAGCACAGGTACCCACCATGGGTGTACGGGCATGACCCAAGGTCCATGGCCCTCCCCCTCTCCTCTAGAACACTTATATTTGCATCAATAACAGCAAGTAATCCTGCAACTTGAAGCCAACACTCACAGGCATGTTGACCAAGCCAAAAGTGTTCAAACATTCAAAGGGTTTGTTGATATTGGTCTCCAGCCAAAGGGTTTCTGATTCTCTCGTCTCGGGTCAAGATTCCTGGCCATTCATCTCAAGGCTTTCCGGAGAAATGGTTCCTGAAGTGTTGCCTCCTGCTGCAGCAGCTGAAGGGTTTATAGAGCCTGGTGGAGGCAGGAACCCTTAGAGCAACCACAATAGGGTTTCTGGAGCTGAAGGGCCTTGTGGGTGCTCCCAGGAGAACGGTTCAAGATCCGCTTACGGTGGCCTCAGGTCTGTGTGTAAGATGATCTTATAAATCTCCCAGATACAAAGGATATCATGAAGGATGGTGGCCGTGACGCGGGCCATGACCTGAGGTGTGGGCCGTGACCTGAGGTGTGGGTTGTGACCTGAGGTGCAGGTCATGGCCTGAGATGGAAGCTCATCATCACTAACTACCACACAAGTCTCCAAGTCTCTGAAGCACCCGACTGAACACTGTTGAAAGTGACCTATCTTCATGGCCGCTCTTCCCCCACTATAATAGGTAGTGTCAACAGCTCTGGCCAGGCTGTTACCGGCCACGAGTACTTGTGAACACTTAATGAAACGACGCTCTGATTCTTATTACCCGAGCTGCGATGTCCCGCTAGGAGGCGTGCACCTCCTTGTAGAATGTCCTGATTATCCGGATGGTCGTAAAATCCTGCTTTCCCAATGTCGTCCTGAGTCGCTTTTGTCCCTCGGTAGAATCCTTGCGGAACCCGACGACTTTCACGACGCGAGTCTTGTGTCGTTGTGCTCACGTATTGAGATCCTGAGCGATATTCAGTACCTCTTGAATATCTGGCGATACAGATGGTGGTTGTGTGTGTGTGTGTGTGTGTGTGTGTGTGTGTGTGTGTGTGTGGGGGCACCAAACTCAGCCATAGGTGTTCCAAAGTGTGCACCAAACTCAGCCATAGGTGTTCCAAAGTGTGCACCAAACTCAGCCATAGGTGTTCCAAAGTGTGCACCAAACTCAGCCATAGGTGTTCCAAAGTGTGCACCAAACTCAGCCATAGGTGTTCCAAAGTGTGCACCAAACTCAGCCATAGGTGTTCCAAAGTGTGCACCAAACTCAGCCATAGGTGTTCCAAAGTGTGCACCAAACTCAGCCATAGGTGTTCCAAAGTGTGCACCAAACTCAGCCATAGGTGTTCCAAAGTGTGCACCAAACTCAGCCATAGCCTCAGCCTTTGCTTCAACCATTTCTACATAGCCTTCCCGGCTTGGTGCCTGCTTTGATAATTACTTACATTGCTTCAATTGAGACAAATGGCTACCCAAACACAGCAACTATTTACCCGGCTCTCGCCTCTTGAACAAGGCAGCCTTGGTCACTAACGCTGTGTGGCTCCCGTAATACCATCACAAACAGGGATGGCTGTTACCAAATCATCTCTCTATTTTCACAGCTGAATTATACACCTTATACTAAGCTCTACAAATAATCACAGCATTATCGGATCAACATTACACAATAATCAAATCTATCTAGGAATCCAATATTGTGTTTGTAACTTATTTTAAATTTTGCCCCGAGGGGCGAGTTTATTGGGCAGCGCCACTCATCCTGTGAGTGGACACACCGCCATAGTGACAGTATTGGGCAGCGCCACTCATCCTGTGAGTGGACACACCGCCATAGTGACAGTATTGGGCAGCGCCACTCATCTTGTGAGTGGACACACCGCCATAGCAGCATGTACAACACTCCCCAATAGGAAGAAAACCCGCTTGGTTGTTTATCCTGTCACTTGTACCCAGACACAGCTGGGACGTACTTCTTCACAACGTGCAAAGAATTTGTCCAGCCATGACTTCAACTTCTCCACGAACTTCAGTTGAAAAGTTATGACATCTCTATCCAATGGGCGCATTGTAATATACTTCATAATGAACTTGTAGACCAGCTGGGCTAAAGCGATGCACGATAAACCTTAAATGACCCGTCATCCAATTCCTCATGTTGTAGGTAAAGGAGCTTTTAAGCGTTTGCAACTTGTCCTCCTAAAAAGAACGTCGCTTTTGTCCGTATGGCCGAATATGGACGTAATTTGAAAATGAAAAAAAAGGAAATAAATTTTGGATTTTTTTTTTCAACAACAGTAAGTTAAGAGTCCTCTGATAGGTTAGGTGGGCAGGAAATTCTCATAAAGTTTCAAAACGGTATGAAAAACGTTAAAGAAAAGTTTCCTCTTCTAAGCTGTCCGAGTAAGCCGGACGACTCAAACAGAAAACGGAACAGTACGTCACTTTTGTGAGTCGATTTCATTTCAAATTACGTCCAAATTTGGCCATAGCGCCGCGCATACCAGCCAAAAGTGACGTTATTTTTAATAGGACGGGTTGTACCATCAGCCAAGATCTTGTAACCAGATGGAGAACATCGCGCTCGTCTCTGGGTCCATATACACAATGGAACACTGGGAAACATGTCGGGTATAGAGCCAGAGAAACATATATAATGATTATCAGACTAAGGTATGTGACACATCAAACTGGGAGCACACAGCTCTAAATACTGGTCAGATAACCAAGCCAGTACTCACTAGTACTCACACAACACAGCCAGTACTCACCAGCACCCACACAACACAGCCAGTACTCATCTACACAACACAGTAAGCCAGTACTCACCAGCACTCACACAAGCCAGTACTCACCAGCACTCTTGGTGAACTTGATGACCCGGCCTCCGAGGGTGGGAAGCTCAGCCAGCGAGGGCAGGTCCTCGAGGACAATGTTGCCACGGATGAAGTGGTTGGTCATCAGCTCTCTGGTGAAGTTCTCCACCAGGAAGGGGTTGAAGCCCCAGTCAATGGGGTAGTAGCCGTAGAAGGCGCTGTCGTAGGGCACCAGAGCCGTGTACCTGCCGGCTGGAAGGAGACCAGATGTTGGTGGGTATTGTGGTGGTGTTGGTGGGTATTGTGGTGGTATTGGTGGGTATTGTGGTGGTGTTGGTGGGTATTGTGGTGGTGTTGGTGGTGGTAGTTGTAAATGTTGGTGAGGGCAGGTGTTTCAAATACAAATATCACGTACTATACTGTGACATATTTTGAGAATACTTTATAAATGTAAGTTACCAGTTCCCACAACACCTGCCCCTTGTTCCCACAACAGTGCAGCTGGTCCCCCTCAACACCTGCTGCCGACCAGACGTGCAGGTGTCGAGGAAGAGGCAGCAGGTGTCGAGGGAGAGGCAGCAGGAGGCGAGGTACTCACTGTCTCTGAACCTGCTGGTAATGTTGGCGTCGAGAAAGTGGTGCAGGAACTCTGAGCCGGTGTAGGCGGCGTCGGCCTCCAGGGCCAGCAGGAAGGACTCCAGGAAGGGGCCCTCTTCGCTCGGGGGCTGCACCGTCGGGCCATCGAACTCTGAGAACTCTGACCCGGGCGACGCCGCAGAGTCGTCTGTCGGCTCACTCCCAAACTCCGGGCCCTCGGCTCCAGAGCCTGGTTCCGGGCCCTCGGCTCCAGAGCCTGGTTCCGGGCCCTCGGATTCAGAACCTGGCTCCGGGCCCTCGGCTCCAGAGCCAGGCTCCGGGCCTTCGGCTCCAGAGCCCGACTCTGGGCTCTCGGGTCCAGCCTGAAGGCCGGCGAGGAGGAACTCGTCTGCGAGGTCGGGCTGGACCCCAGGTGTGTAGTCTGTGGCTGCTTCGGGTTTCGTGCGTCGGAAGGTGTTGATGCCCGATGGTCGGACTCTGTTGGGCTTGAAGGTTGCGAACCTGTGTGTGAGAGGTGGCAGGCGGGTGGTGACCGCCCGCGCAACCACGGGCGGTGCTCCGCGCGACACCACCGGCGGTGCTCCGCGCGGCACCACCGGCGGTGTTCCGCGCGGCACCACCGGCGGTGCTCCACCCGACACCACCGGCAGGAAGTTCTCCAGGACGTAGACTACACCGTCGCTAAACTTGTAGACGTGACTGGTGAGCCGCACACCGTTCACCATGGGTCCTTCTGTAGGGGAAGACAGTATGTGGTTATGTAAGGTTGAAGGCGGAACGCTTGGCGCTAAGTATTTATCAGACGACGGCACCAAGCCGGGGAGACTGTGGCACCAGCAGTGGCGCCGGGTATTGAAAAGGCGCCAAATGTCACTGGGGACGCAAGTTACAGCCCCGCACAGGAAGCGGGTGTACGGGCTCACCATAGCCCGTGCTACTTGGCCCGCTCCTGTGCCAGGTAAGTCCACTACGGGCTCACCGTAGCCCGTGCTACTTGCAGCTCCTGTGCCAGGTAAGTTCACTACGGGCTCACCATAGCCCGTGCTACTTGCCCCGCTCCTGTGCCAGGTAAGTCCACTACGGGCTCACCATAGCCCATGCTACTTGCAGCTCCTGTGCCAGGTAAGTTCACTACGGGCTCACCGTAGCCCGTGCTACTTGCAGCTCCTGTGCCAGGTAAGTAACTATGACTGGGAGTGGCCTGAGCGTGTACAGTGCCACAGTACCCGTCACGACCCACTTGTGGAGTGACCTGAGCGTGTACAGTGCCACAGTACCCATCACGACCCACTTGTGGAGTGACCTGAGCGTGTACAGTGCCACAGTACCCGTCACGACCCACTTGTGGAGTGACCTGAGCGTGTACAGTGCCACAGTACCCATCACGACCCACTTGTGGAGTGACCTGAGCGTGTACAGTGCCACAGTACCCGTCACGACCCACTTGTGGAGTGACCTGAGCGTGTACAGTGCCACAGTACCCGTCACGACCCACTTGTGAGTAAAGCCGCCTTCACAGTAACTTTGACCATATGATCTCACACTTTACAATTAAAAAATGTAGCAGAAAACATTTTGTAGCATAAAGTTATAAGTAACAATAAACATTATTTTGCATCTTTGATTCGTGAAAGTTCAAATAGTAGTTATCTTCAAGGGAAAAAGCTATGGAATAATTTGCGCTTTTTCCATAAGACAATATATATGTATTTGTTAGAATATATTTATTTTACTGCTTACTATTGAAATTGAAATAAGTTTATTGAGGTAAAATACACACAAAGGGATGAGGTAGCTCAAGCTATTCTCACCCCGTTCAGTACATCGTGTTAATTCATACATATAAACACATCACAAACAATAAACATATTACCAAACATTCTGAGAGATAAACATATACATTTCCTACTGCTTACTATTGTTTTGATTTTTATTATATATTTGATATATGGGGGAGGAGGAGGAGGGTTATCTTGAGATGATTTCGGGGCTTTAGTGTCCCCACGGCCCGGTCCTCGACCAGGCCTCCACCCCCAGGAAGCAGCCCGTGACAGCTGACTAACACCCAGGTACCTATTTTACCCCCTAGGTAACAGGGGCATAGGGTGAAAGAAACTCTGCCCATTGTTTCTCGCCGGCGCCTGGGATCGAACCCAGGACGACAAGTCCAGCGTGCTTGGGCCTTGAAGGTCTTAATCCGGCCCCCGGACAGGATGTATAGGGTGTACATGTCTTCAGGGCCATAAGTGTACTGCTAGAGGCGTCTTAAATGATATCGTCTTCTTCCACACCTCCTGGGCCACGTCTTGCTCCACACCCGGGCCACGTCTTGCTCCACACCCGGGCCACGTCTTGCTCCACACCCGGGCCACGTCTTGCTCCACACCCGGGCCACGTCTTGCTCCACACCCGGGCCACGTCTTGCTCCACACCCGGGCCACGTCTTGCTCCACACCCGGGCCACGTCTTGCTCCACACCCGGGCCACGTCTTGCTCCACACCCGGGCCACGTCTTGCTCCACACCCGGGCCACGTCTTGCTCCACACCCGGGCCACGTCTTGCTCCACACCCGGGCCACGTCTTGCTCCACACCCGGGCCACGTCTTGCTCCACACCCGGGCCACGTCTTGCTCCACACCCGGGCCACGTCTTGCTCCACACCCGGGCCACGTCTTGCTCCACACCCGGGCCACGTCTTGCTCCACACCCGGGCCACGTCTTGCTCCACACCCGGGCCACGTCTTGCTCCACACCCGGGCCACGTCTTGCTCCACACCCGGGCCACGTCTTGCTCCACACCCGGGCCACGTCTTGCTCCACACCCGGGCCACGTCTTGCTCCACACCCGGGCCACGTCTTGCTCCACACCCGGGCCACGTCTTGCTCCACACCCGGGCCACGTCTTGCTCCACACCCGGGCCACGTCTTGCTCCACACCCGGGCCACGTCTTGCTCCACACCCGGGCCACGTCTTGCTCCACACCCGGGCCACACTATCCTCTTGCAACCCGTTCTCGCACTTGCTTATAGTCAATATTGGCTTATTTAATAAGTGCATATGTGACATACTAATTGATTGTGAATATTTTAGTTTACCTTGAAAAGCTTCATAGAAAACACCGACCTCACCTAACCTTCTTAGTATGTTAAGATAAGCATCTTATTGCTTTTTAATTACAATTCTTACTTAACCTATACCGTTGATAGGTTAAGTAATAATTGTAATTAAGAAGCAATAAGATGCTTATCTTAACATACTAAGAAGGTTAGGTAAGGTCGGTGTTTTCTATGAATCTTTTCAAGGTAAACTAAATTATTCACAATCAATTAGTATGTCACATATGCACTTATTAAATAAGCCAATATTGACTATAAGCAAGTGTGAGAACGGGTTGCACGTTTATAGCGCATGTTTGTGTGTGCAACTGTAGACAGCTGTTGTTTAACTAGTCTCAGAATAACTGAACAAAATAGGTGATCTATGTAATGTACTGATTAAAGTCGAGATGGCTATGAAGAAAGTATAAATGATGACCAAAGTCTAGAATATAATAGATGTAGGTGAGGCAGGTTGATGTAGGTGAGGCAGGTTGATGTAGGTGATAGTTGATGTTGTAGGAGGGGCGTGGTAGTGCGGGTTTTACTGAGGGTGTCAACACCACGCTATTAATCATCTGTGGCAAGAGTTAGTGGTTGAGGCCGCAAGCGACGTCCACCACTATGTAAAAGACACATCGAACACTTTATGTAGGGCAGACGTAAATCTGTGTATCTATGTATTTACGTATGTAGGTTAGCTTAGCATTTTAAAAGCACTGAATCACCTTCTGTGGTTGATTGTTCAATAAACCCTTGAACTATATGTTTAACACATCTCTAACCCTGTCCATGGAGGACAGAAGAAAATGTATATATGCTGGTTAGCATTGTAAATGTCTGGCCACGTCTGTGGTAGAAAATAATGATAATAATAATAATAATAAAAACCCACTTCCTTCTCCTCAATCACCACCCGTGATTGACACTAATCAAGTCTGCCACTTCATAAGTTGTTTATTGACAAGTAACATTCGCACACCTCCGCTGCTAACTGGCTGGGCCACTTTTTGACTGTTGCTAATTAAGAAGAGAGATGGAGACACACTTAGAAACACACTTAGAGTGTGAGTGGTTGTGAGCCTGGTGTGGAAGAACATTATTATTGAGCAGTATCTTCTGGAGATCTTGAGATGATTTCGGGGCTTTAGTGTCCCCGCGGCCCGGTCCACGACCAGGTTATCATGAGATGATTTCGGGGCTTTAGTGTCCCCGCGGCCCGGTCCTCGACCAGACCTCCATCGTCTACAGCAACACTAGTAACTCTTATAGTCACACTCAAGACTTGTTGCCTTACAAGACACATGAACAAGTAGCCGATAAGGAGCTTTTTTTATTATTATTATTTTCTACCACAGACGTGGCCGGACATTTACAATGCTAACCAACATATATACATTTTCTTCTGTCCTCCATGGGCAGGGTTAGAGATGTGTTAAACATATAGTTCAAGGGTTTATTGAACAATCAACCACAGAAGGTGATTCAGTGCTTTTAAAATGCTAAGCTAACCTACATACGTAAATACATAGATACACAGATTTACGTACGCCCTACATAAAGTGTTCGATGTGTCTTTTACATAGTGTCATTAATGTGCATCGATAAGGAGTGAAAGGTGAAACTATTGTCACCATTTATAGTTATTAAAGACTTAAGAAATGTTTAACAGTGACACAGTAAGGTGCGGCCCTCGTCGTGGTCTGTTACTCCCTAACTACGTTATTTACGGATTAGTCCAGGAGCCAGATTCACGAAGCAGTTACGCAAGCACTTACGAACGTGTACATCTTTCCTCAGTCTTTGGCGGCTTTGTTTACAATTATTAAATAGTTAATGAGCTCGGAAGCACCAGGAGGCTGTTTATAACAATAACAACAGTTGATTGGGAAGCTTTCAAGCTTGTTTACTGTTTAATAGATGTAAACAAAGCCGTCAAAGATTGAGGAAAGATGTACACGTTCATAAGTGCTTGCGTAACTGCTTTGTGAATCTGGCCCCAAGATGGTCAGTACTTAAGGTCTCATGATACTTAGGGCCTAGTGGCTGAGTGGACAGAGCTCTGGGGTCGTAGTCTTAAGGGGTCCGAATTCGATTCCCGGCGAAGGAAGGAAACAAATTATCAAAATTTCTTTCACCCTGGTGCACCTGTTCACCTAGCAGTAAATAAGTACCTGGGGGGGGGGGGGTTAGACAGCTGCTACAGGCGTTTCCTGGGGATGTAGTGTGTAAGAAAAATATATATAATAGACATAATAGAGGGGAAAAATTGGTCGGAAAGGCGGGGTCCAAGAGCTAATAGCTCGATTCTGCCGATACACATAGTAAATGTGCAGGCGATGAGTCACAATAACGTGGCTGAAGTATGTTGACCAGACCACACACTAGAAGTTGAAGGGACGACGACGACGTTTCGGTCTGTCCTGGACCATTCTCGAGTCGACAATCGACTTGAGAATGGTCCAGGACGGACCGAAACGTCGTCGTCCCTTCAGCTTCTAGCGTGTGGTCTGTTGTTGTTGTTGTTAAAGATTTAGCTATTCAGGACGGAGTGTCCATGTAGCACGGGCTATGGTGAGCCCGTAAGTGTGTGGTCTGGTCAACACATAGCTAGTAAATACTCACGGTCATCAGAGGTGAAGACTAGGCGAGTACCGGCCAGGGTGGTGACGGGCTCTCTGGGCGGGTTGTTGGGGTCGACCACCTGACCCAAGACGACGTGATTCAGTAGCATCTTGGCCGTCGCCTGTCGCTCCACCAGGAAGCCCCCGCCCTTAGGCAGACCCGAGTTGACGGGCACCAGCAACGTCCACGGCTCACCTGGGGCCAGAAACATCACATTAGTAGTGTATAGTGAACCTGTGGCTCACCTGGGGCCAGAAATATCACATTAGTAGTGTACAGTGGCTCACCTGGGGCCAGAAACATCACATTAGTAGTGTACTGTGGCTCACCTGGGGCCAGAAACATCACATTAGTAGTGTAGTGTGGCTCACCTGGGGCCAGAAACATCACATTAGTAGTGTACTGTGGCTCACCTGAGGCCAGAAACATCACATTAGTAGTGTATAGTGAACCTGTGGCTCACCTGAGGCCAGAAACATCACATCAGTAGTGTATAGTGAACCTGTGGCTCACCTGAGGCCAGAAACATCACATCAGTACGTGATCACCTATGATTAGCATCACCTGTGGCTCACCTGGAGCCGGCCACAAGAGGGAAGATGGAAGTCCTGCAGTAGAGCGACCTGTCCTGAGGCTAGGCTCGTCCAGGCGGCGGACGACCCCATAGACGCAGTTGTACATTTTTACGAACTGCGTATTCAACATTTATATGTTCTCAAATATGAAGTAATGTTGTGAATGGTTGGGGCTGACTTAGGTTAGGTAGTTAGGCTCTGGTGGTCATTACTGGTATATGTAGTTAGCCTCTGGTGGTCATTACTGGTATATGTAGTTAGCCTCTGGTGGTCATTACTGGTATATGTAGTTAGCCTCTGGTGGTCATTACTGGTATATGTAGTTAGCCTCAGGTGGTCATTACTGGTATATGTAGTTAGGCTCTGGTGGTCATTACTGGTATATGTAGTTAGCCTCAGGTGGTCATTACTGGTATATGTAGTTAGCCTCAGGTGGTCATTACTGGTATATGTAGTTAGCCTCAGGTGGTCATTACTGGTATATGTAGTTAGGCTCTGGTGGTCATTACTGGTATATGTAGTATGTGGGTGAAGCATTTACAGCAATCCGTCCTCAGACCACGACCATTCCAGACAGAGGTCGATCCCAAATTAAATAAAATTATATGAATTTTATCAAATATAAATTAATATAATTTTATATTAACATACTGTACATATTTAGGCATAGGTTAGGTTAGGTGTTTAGGTTCTGTTGGCGATTATTTGTATTTGTAGTACGTGGGTGAAGCATTTACAGCGTTGTGGTTCGAACACAATTAGTAAGTGAAGCACTTGATCCGGAAGTGTTCGAACGTCATTAGTTGAGTCGTGTGTACATCGCTTTTCATTCATAAATTGGGGTTGGCGGGTGTATGGAATGGACTTTTTGTCTTTAGAGGACGGGCTGTTTCAATCCGGCCCCCTCACTAGGCTGGTTAAAGCAGCGGCTGTCCTCCTAAGACGCAGTCATCAATTTTAACATATTGTGTATTAAACATTGGTTCGTTCTCAAATATGAATTAATATTATGATACATTAAAATTATATATATAGGCGTAGGTTAGGTGTTAGGTTCTGTTGGCGATAACCACACAACCTGGTTATAGCGGGTTGTTAACATTTCCACCACACAACCTGGTTATAGCGGGTTGTTAACATTTCCACCACACAACCTGGTTATAGCGGGTTGTTAACATTTCCACCACACAACCTGGTTATAGCGGGTTGTTAACATTTCCACCACACAACCTGGTTATAGCGGGTGGTTAACATTTCCACCACACAACCTGGTTATAGCGGGTTGTTAACTTTTCCACCACACAACCTGGTTATAGCGGGTGGTTAACATTTCCACCACACAACCTGGTTATAGCGGGTTGTTAACTTTTCCACCACACAACCTGGTTATAGCGGGTTGTTAACTTTTCCACCACACAACCTGGTTATAGCGGGTTGTTAACTTTTCCACCACACAACCTGGTTAAAGTGTTTATATTTTAATTCCAGATGTAATTAAGACAGTTGTATTAAACCAATAACATTACACAGTGATGCTGTGTTGCCCACAATGGTCCCCCATGTTGCCCACAATGGTCCCCCATGTTGCCCACAATGGTCCACCATGATGCTGTGTTGCCCACAATGGTCCCCCATGATGCTGTGTTGCCCACAATGGTCCCCCATGATGCTGTGTTGCCCACAATGGTCCCCCATGATGCTGTGTTGCCCACAATGGTCCCCCATGTTGCCCACAATGGTCCCCCATGTTGCCCACAATGGTCCCCCATGATGCTGTGTTGCCCACAATGGTCCCCCATGATGCTGTGTTGCCCACAATGGTCCCCCATGATGCTGTGTTGCCCACAATGGTCCCCCATGATGCTGTGTTGCCCACAATGGTCCCCCATGATGCTGTGTTGCCCACAATGGTCCCCCATGATGTTGTGTTGCCCACAATGGTCCCCCATGATGCTGTGTTGCCCACAATGGTCCCCCATGATGCTGTGTTGCCCACAATGGTCCCCCATGATGCTGTGTTGCCCACAATGGCCCCCCATGTTGCCCACAATGGTCCCCCATGTTGCCCACAATGGTCCCCCATGATGCTGTGTTGCACACAATGGCCCCCCATGTTGCCCACAATGGCCCCCCATGTTGCCCACAATGGTCCCCCATGTTGCCCACAATGGTCCCCCATGATGCTGTGTTGCCCACAATGGTCCCCCATGTTGCCCACAATGGTCCCACATGATGCTGTGTTGCCCACAATGGTCCCCCATGATGCCCACAATGGTCCCCCATGATGCCCACAATGGTCCCACATGATGCTGTGTTGCCCACAATGGTCCCCCATGATGCTGTGTTGCCCACAATGGTCCCCCATGTTGCCCACAATGGTCCCACATGTTGCCCACAATGGTCCCCCATGATGCTGTGTTGCCCACAATGGTCCCCCATGATGCTGTGTTGCCCACAATGGTCCCCCATGATGCTGTGTTGCCCACAATGGTCCCCATGATGCTGTGTTGCCCACAATGGTCCCCCATGATGCCCACAATGGTGTTGCCCACAATGGTCCCCCATGATGCTGTGTTGCCCACAATGGTCCCCCATGATGCTGTGTTGCCCACAATGGTCCCCCATGATGCTGTGTTGCCCACAATGGTCCCCCATGATGCTGTGTTGCCCACAATGGTCCCCCATGATGCTGTGTTGCCCACAATGGTCCCCCATGATGCTGTGTTGCCCACAATGGTCCCCCATGATGCTGTGTTGCCCACAATGGTCCCCCATGATGCTGTGTTGCCCACAATGGTCCCCCATGATGCTGTGTTGCCCACAATGGCCCCCCATGTTGCCCACAATGGTCCCCCATGATGCAGTGTTGCCCACAATGGTCCCCCATGATGCTGTGTTGCCCACAATGGTCCCCCATGATGCTGTGTTGCCCACAATGGTCCCCCATGATGCTGTGTTGCCCACAATGGTCCCCCATGTTGCCCACAATGGTCCCCCATGATGCTGTGTTGCCCACAATGGTCCCCCATGATGCTGTGTTGCCCACAATGGTCCCCCATGATGCTGTGTTGCCCACAATGGTCCCCCATGATGCTGTGTTGCCCACAATGCCCACAATGGTCCCCCATGATCCCCCATGTTGCCCACAATGGTCCCCCATGATGCTGTGTTGCCCACAATGGTCCCCCATGTTGCCCACAATGGTCCCCCATGTTGCCCACAATGGTCCCCCATGATGCTGTGTTGCCCACAATGGTCCCCCATGATGCTGTGTTGCCCACAATGGTCCCCCATGATGCTGTGTGCCCACCCCATGATGCTGTGTTGCCCACAATGGTCCCCCATGATGCCCACAATGGTCCCCCATGTTGCCCACAATGGTCCCCCATGATGCTGTGTTGCCCACAATGGTCCCCCATGATGCTGTGTTGCCCAACAATGGTCCCCCATGTTGCCCACAATGGTCCCCCATGATGCTGTGTTGCCCACAATGGTCCCCCATGATGCTGTGTTGCCCACAATGGTCCCCCATGATGCTGTGTTGCCCACAATGGTCCCCCATGATGCTGTGTTGCCCACAATGGTCCCCCATGATGCTGTGTTGCCCACAATGGTCCCCCATGATGCTGTGTTGCCCACAATGGTCCCCCATGATGCTGTGTTGCCCACAATGGTCCCCCATGATGCTGTGTTGCCCACAATGGTCCCCCATGATGCTGTGTTGCCCACAATGGTCCCCCATGATGCTGTGTTGCCCACAATGGTCCCCCATGATGCTGTGTTGCCCACAATGGTCCCCCATGATGCTGTGTTGCCCACAATGGTCCCCCATGATGCTGTGTTGCCCACAATGGTCCCCCATGATGCTGTGTTGCCCACAATGGTCCCCCATGATGCTGTGTTGCCCACAATGGTCCCCCATGATGCTGTGTTGCCCACAATGGTCCCCCATGATGCTGTGTTGCCCACAATGGTCCCCCATGATGCTGTGTTGCCCACAATGGTCCCCCATGATGCTGTGTTGCCCACAATGGTCCCCCATGATGCTGTGTTGCCCACAATGGTCCCCCATGATGCTGTGTTGCCCACAATGGTCCCCCATGATGCTGTGTTGCCCACAATGGTCCCCCATGATGCTGTGTTGCCCACAATGGTCCCCCATGATGCTGTGTTGCCCACAATGGTCCCCCATGATGCTGTGTTGCCCCACAATGGTCCCCCATGATGCTGTGTTGCCCACAATGGTCCCCCATGATGCTGTGTTGCCCACAATGGTCCCCCATGATGCTGTGTTGCCCACAATGGTCCCCCATGATGCAGTGTTGCTCACAATGGTCCCCCATGATGCTGTGTTGCCCACAATGGTCCCCCATGATGCTGTGTTGCCCACAATGGTCCCCCATGATGCTGTGTTGCCCACAATGGTCCCCCATGATGCTGTGTTGCCCACAATGGTCCCCCATGATGCTGTGTTGCCCACAATGGTCCCCCATGTTGCCCACAATGGTCCCCCATGATGCTGTGTTGCCCACAATGGTCCCCCATGTTGCCCACAATGGTCCCCCATGTTGCCCACAATGGTCCCCCATGTTGCCCACAATGGTCCCCCATGTTGCCCAC